TTAGGGCTCGAACACACCAAAGCATGCTCCAAGATGCTTATTTATTCCCATTATTGTCACAATTAAAAGTCTCCAGAGAGCTGACAAGGGTGATTTGTGCAACTAAACAACAACAGGTGGTGATAAACTAATAATATGCCAGCTAATCTTAGGTTCAAGTGTCCTAAAAATCACACTTTCCCTCTGATAAACAGTTTGACTGAATTCTAAAGTGCCTGAGTCATTAATAATTTTATCCTCAACAAGTCCCTTCAATATGGCCGTTGTCGTATAGAAATGAGCTTCATTGACTTGTTTTGGACTCCTGCCAGAGTACATAGATGTGGATGCTCCACACCTTCATCATGAGGTAAACAGTAAATGACACATAGCGTGTGAGGTGACTCAGATTTAAAATATTGCAAAAATATTTATTTGTCAAGTTGTATATTTTTGATTTACTAATTAGTGTTGATGTTATTAAAATATTTTAAAATGCCTGAATGTACAAAAACATTTGTATACACAATCACAAAGTGGAAGAGCATATTTGGGTTAGTCTGATGGTGAGGATCTCTGTTAACTGCCTGTTAAATTTTTTTGACTCTCAGTGGAGACCCAAAACTTTTAAGTCGACCTAACAAACTTTAGACCGACTTAAAATTAGTAAAATAGCACTTGTTTATGGTGTCAGCTGAGCTTAATCATTTATTTAGAGACACAAAGCAAAGCATGCTTTACGACTGGCCTATTGTATGATTAACAACTCGATATCATAGGAGCATGTGTTTCTCATTCAGAGCCAGCTCTTGTCCATCTACTCTCACTTCCAAACAGTGAGACATGATGGACGTTGTTTGATGGTGGTTGTTTGAAACTGCACACATTTAGACTTTAACATAACACATCGTTAACCAGTCAGTTACATCATGGCAGCTCATCTTTAACTGAGCAGCTAATTTTGGAAATACATTTTATGTCACTAGTCTCTCTTCAGTATAAATATAGTTAGTTGAGTTGGTGGGTGGGGAGTCTTGCATTTTTTCCCCACTTCAACGCTTAGTGTCATGTGAAGCCTGTGCTTTGGACTGACTTCATTTTTGACTGACTGCAGTTTTAACAACACTGCCTCCCAGTGGTCATAATCTGTATTGCAGAGTCTAATGAGACGAACAAACAACTGTTTTTTGTTTTGTTTTTTTCATCAAGGTCCATGTACAAATGTGAGTCTAAGTGAGGAGATATGAGCGTGAATATGTCACGGTTTGCCAGGGCAAGCCGTGGGGATGTGGAGGAAAACAGGACTCAAAACGCACTGCAAACGGTGCGTTTATTTACAGTGCATAAATGATAATAAATCCCCGTGCTTTCCCTTTACTCCCGTGTCGTGTCTTCCCCGAAAAGTCTGTGTCTTTGTGCTCTCCGCTCAGGTGTCTCAGCACTCCCCGTGCTGGCTGCTGTCTGGTGTTCCACACGTCTCCTGGGGAAACAGAAGCAGCCGTTAAGACACAATACAGCTGCGTGCATACACATACTAACTTTACTAAGTTTTAAGACTAACGTGGAGTCTCACGCAATTATTCTGCGCTGAGGAGGGCTCAGCCACACTCTCAAGTAGCTCCCCTGACAAGGCTTCATTAGCTGCAGGTGTGTGTACTCATCCGCTTCAGGTGTGGCCAGCTTCCAGACGGGACACACCCACCAGGCCTGCCTGATCCCCAGTGCTCATCCACACCCATACACACACCCACTTGCCTGTATATACAGAAGCATGGAGAACACAAGAACAGAAGCAGAGTGCAGCAAACATGCATAATATAAAACGAGTCCACAACTGCTCATGGACACTGACAGAATAAGACTCGTGAAATTTTAAACAGAAACAAAATTCCATGTAAATGATACTGCTTTGTGCTGATTGTGTTACATATGATTGTGATTACATATATTGTGAAGGATAAATATAAATCCTTCAGATTTGTGTATCCGTAACAGTTGTTCTAATCGTCTAATGAAAATAAAGTATAAGTAAACTTTAACTTGCAGACCAGATTCACAGATACATGTATTCACTCTATAAAGGTTTTTCTATCTTATGTTGGTTAGATAGATTGACACCCAGTATGAGTTTTTCCATTATGGTCAGATCAATACAGTCTCTCTATATGGTTTTAGTTTTTACTAACCAAATCAGATACTTTTATCACTCTATTATTTGAGAATAAAATGACAAATAGAATTTCAGTCTGTTATTTATTTTAAATGTTGGTTAAAGCTTGGTACCTTATAGAGTAAATAATGAATCATTCATAAGTTTGTATAACTGGAGCTTGTGTCTCATCAGTAATGCTGATGATGTAGAAATAGGAGAGACACTGTAATATTCTACTGTTAAAAGTGGGGATTAAAATATATGCAGAGTAAGAAGGGGAAAAGACACACTCTGTTTTGCCTCAATTTAATTTTCTTTAATAAGTGAAACTTAACATATAAAGTGAAAGTACTTCAGCAGAGTCAGTCTGTTAGGTCTGCACTCGCTGGCCTCGGTGACTCAGAGACTTATCCCCGTGAACAAAGCAAGACACTCAGAGCTCAGTCCATTTTAACTTGCAAGAGAAGCCGGTCTGGTCAGGATCTTGGAGCTACAAACTCCCCACCTGATCTCAGCCAACGTTAAAAAAAATAGTGTCCCCTCGCAGCCTTTTATTCAGAGATATCAGTTACTGAAACACCCCATTGTAAAACCCATAAGGTTTCTCCTAAGAGTTAAGGCACTGTGTGTGTGACTGTATGCATGTATGAGCATGTGTGTGCATGTGTGTGTACGTGACTCTGTATACGTGACTTCCTGCTATTCAAATGTGGTTACAGCCGTTTTACAACATCTATAGTCATAAAAGGGTCACCTTCCCCCACCCCCCATACATCGCTTAATCCCTTTAATGGTCCACCATATACAAGCACAGGTGAGCTCATAAATGGCAGGTAGTAAACATTCCTTCTGAATAAGGAAACCAGAACCTTTACATGCAGTGTGCCTGCAGTTAAACACTATAGCTAATACCATCCCCCACCATCCTAGATGTCGGGGAGGGACAGAAAAATATCTGAACATGCAGTTTAAGAAAAGGTTTACAGTTTTAAAAACAACAATGACAACTTTTATCAAAATCACTCCATCACAGTCCTTCATCATTATTACTGTGATATTAGCTAATTTTGGGTCCTAGTATCCAACACACTTTGTAGCTCACTACTCACTCACTACTGTGATATGATGCAATATTATACTCCAATTGACCTTTTTTAAATGCTTTTTCATTTTTAGTGTTCTGAAAATATTTCTGCGTAAGGGAAAAAAACAGATAAGTGGATGGATGAGTGGGTGGCTGTCTACACATGTGAAAGTGAAAGTTTTGCAGTGACCATGACTTTCACACTGCATTTCATTCTACTGCAGCCTGCAGAAAGATATGCCAGAGACTGAAAGAAATTATCAAGCTCTTTTGTAAGTAACCCTTTACTTTCTTTTTTCACCCCATGATGCTGTGAACTACTTATTCTCTGCCATGCAATGTAATAATACAGATTACAGATAAATTACAATCAGAGTACTTTATTGAGGAAATTATGCGGTCATAGTTGATTTAGTATTAAATATTAAATTACATATATATGGTTGACATTGAGGTGCCCCTGTTATCATACTGGACTTTGTCAAAAGGAGCTTGCAAAGAAAAGCGTCTGGACTTCTTTAAAGAAGTCCAGACGCTTTTCTTTGCAAGCTCCTTTTGACTACGATGACCTGGATGACTGAGAACCTTCACAGACATACTGGACTTTGTTGTTTTCTCTGTGTCTGCTGTGCAGATAGTAAGGCTGTGGAACTTTTGCAGTGCGTACTTGTGCTTTAGAAGGAGGAGTTGTGCAGGCAGGATTGATTTCCTGCGTCATTCAGTGGCGCATTTAGTTTTTCTCATCTTCTCACTGAACTGAACTGAATAATAATACAGATTAGTATCTCTTGGGTATTTTTTCAGACATCGAGTGAAAGTTTTTGTAGGGCAGCTGCTACTAAAGAGAGCTTGTGATGCACATTCACCTTCTGTCTGTGGATGATGTGCTGAAAATGTTCCTTTCTGTTTCTTGATCCTTCTTAGAGACATGGAACAGGAACAAGGTGAGAAAACAAGTTGATTTTTCAAGACTGCATTTGTTAAGTTCATTAAACTGCATTTGTTGATTATAAAAATCATTTATTGATACTTCTACCATGATAATTATGAAGACACACCTTGTTTTAATCCACTTTCATTTTCTGTTATAACTGAAACCACCTGTGGCGGGGCGTGGCCTGCGGTACCGTGCAGGGAAGGTGGATGCACCTGCACGGCATCCGCAATCATGTCCCACCGACTTAAGCATAGCACTGGGTCCTGTGATGGTGTTGTTGTTGGTTATGTTGAGCTGGCAGCGGGAGAGCTGCAGCTCTGTGTGTGTCAATAAAGGATGCAGAGCATGTTCATGTCACCGGGTCTGCCGTGGTCATTTACACTACCCTATTAAAATGAAAGCACTGCAGCAGAGTCGCTGATTTGTGATTACTCCAGTAGTTTCAGCACATTTGGGGAGATCCTAATCAGCACCCTTAATAGCCCATGTAAAAAGCCACTGATAGATGATATAATTTTGTTATTTCTTTCACCTTCATCTGGCTCAAGTAGTACAAAAAGATGTTACAGGTAAATAATGTACTTAAATTTCTTTTTCTTTCATCTTTAGTTTTGTGGAAAAAATTCTATGTCTGGAAAGCGGGAAGAACAAATGGAGCTCATTCTAAAATTGTTCAAAAACTCGAAGACATTGGCCACACTGAGGTGGACTCTCCTGAAGATTGTGACTACCTTCTAGGTTTTTGTCCTGTTGCTTCACGAGTTGGAACAGACATCACAGAGGCTCTCAACAACAAACCTCGTAAGAAATGTAAAATCCCACTAGTTTTCTTTTGTCATCACAAGTAAAGGGAAGTAATTTAAATCCCTGAATGTTAAATTGGTATCACGAGAAATGTCATGGTAAGAAATTGTAATTTACCTGTATGTGACCTACTTACATTAGTTGTCTTTTTCTCTTGTGTGTCAGATGGGAAGCTCCTGTGTGATATTCAGTTGAATAAGTAGATGAAAAATAATGAATGGATGAAATTATGTAAAGGGTTATGAAGAAAACAGTTGTATTTAATACAGAGCCTCATACAGTTTTAATGTCTTACAGCCTCAGCTCAATATCTAGTAACTTAACTAACTTAAATGTTTTTTCACTTTTCCTGAACCATCTGATCCCACTGTCTCTGTCCCTATAGTGCATAAACCAGTGATTCTGGTGGTGATGCACCACACTCATGAAATTCATCGTGCTGTAGGCAAAAGCAGTAGACAGGTCGACGACCCAGATGTCTGCCTCACTGTGGATTGTCTCTTTTATGATGGCACCCTCCTTAACTGCAGTCTCAATGACAACATGTGGGCTGACATCCAGAATCATTTTGGAGTTACTCAGGTACTGACTAGAAATACTTATCTAATATTGATCTTTTGAATAAGGTAGTGGGTAGGTAGGTATGATTCAAACATTGCAGTTTGTTACAAATGCTCCAGTTAATTTGTTATTTGTATTCTAATTTTTCTTCTTCCTTTTAGGGCTCTGACTTGCTGACCAGGATAGTCAATTGTAAGTGTGACTACAACCATGAATTTCCAATTACAACTTTTTTTTTTGCCCCAGTTTTACATTCAGATTAAAATGACAATGTATGTAGTTCTCCCACCTGTGAAATTTCTGCGAAATTAGCTGAAAAGTACCTCAAAAGTTACACAGAACAGATGCGAACTGAGGGTTTAG